AACTGGAAGTATGTGATTAAAAAGAAGAAAAAGGTAGAAGTATACTCTCTTTTTTAAATGAGGAAGAGTTTGCATTTGGATATAAAATGTGACAAAAGGTGGGTTTTCTGTCTAGTTGTATTTATGGCAGTTTGTGTGGAGAATGGGAGAATTTTATGCTGGCATCTCTATGTCATAAGGAGGAAAATGGAGTAATGGCTGGTAACACCAGTATGTAATTTAGGACTGACTGCAGACAAGCAGAGTAGGGAAGTTTCTTAGGCAAGCAGATTTTGAAGGATGGTGAAAGCAATGATCCTGTGCTCATTTTCCTTCTGCCAGCTGCCTGCAAAGTCAGGGGTGCCATGGTGAGCTTGTTGCTGCTGTCAGAAGGGAGTTGCTGAGAAGGTTGGCATCACTTCTGAGAACGGCTGTCAGCTACTTAAGAGTGCCTTGAGCCAGCTCCAGCTGCACATTTCTGTACATTAGTAATTCACAAGTTTCTTTTTCCAGCCTTTGCCATTGAAGTTTAAATAAGATTTTCCTGGAAGCAATTTGGTGAAGTAGAGCTGGCGCATAAAATCAGAGCGAGTGCTTGAACAAACTGTTAAATACTGCCTGCTCCCCACTGTTCTTGTCCTCTCTTCTAAGAGCCGCACTGGCTTGCTTGGTTTGGCAAAGTTTTCTTCACATTACATCTGACAGACCAGTGCTGAACTTTTTCTATACTCCTTGTCATCCTGTCCCTATCCAGTAAAAACACTGTAATGTGAAACTGTTTCATACATAAGAGTGCATCATATTAAAGGCAAGGGTCAAATAGAATCATAGAATCATAGAATAGTTAGGGTTGGAAAGGACCTTAAGATCATCTAGCTCCAACCCCCCTGCCATGGGCAGGGACTCCTCACACTAAATCATCTCACCCAAGGTTCTGTCAAACCTGGCCTTGAACACTGCCAGGGATGGAGCATTCACAACTTCCTTGGACAACCCATTCCAGTGCCTCAGCACCCTTACAGTAAAGAACTTCTTCCTTATATCCAATTTAAATTTGCTGTGTTTAAGTTTTAACCCAATACCCCTTGTCCTATCACTACAGTCCCTAATGAAGAGTCTGTCCCCAGCATCCCTTTAGGCCCCCTTCAGATACTGGAAGGCTGCTATGAGGTCTCCATGCAGCCTTCTCCTCTCCAGGCTGAACAGCCCCAACTTTCTCAGCCTGTCTTCATATGGGAGGTGCTCCAGTCCCCTGGTCATCCTCATGGCCCTCCTCTGGACTTGTTCCAACACTTCCATGTCCTTTTGATGTTGAGGACACCAGAACTGCACACAATACCCCAAGTGAGGTCTCATGAGAGCAGAGTAAAGGGGCAGGATCACCTCCTTTGACCTGCTGGTCATGCTCCTTTTCATGCGGCCCAGGATACAGTTGGCTTTCTGTGCTGCGAGTGCACACTGCTGGCTCATGTTCGTTTTCTCATTGACCAACACCCCCAAGTCCTTCTCCGCAGGGCTGCTCTGAATCTCTGCCCCACCTGTAGCTGTGCATGGGATTGATGTGACTCAGGTGTAGGACCTTGCACTTGGCATGGTTAAACTTCATCAGGTTGGCATCAGCCCATCTCACAAGCATGTCAAGGTCCCTCTGGATGTCATTCCTTCCCTCCAGTGTATCAACTGAACCACACAGCTTGGTGTCATTGGCAAACTTGCTGAGGGTGCACTCAATCCCACTGTCCATGTCAGCGACAAAGATGTTGAACAAGACTGGTCCCAACACCAATCCCTGAGGAACACCACTCGTTACTGGTCTCTAGCTGGACAGAGCTGTTGACTACAACTGCTTGCATGCAGCCATCCAGCCAGTTCTTTATCCACTGAGTGTACTTGGTACTTGATCAGTATCTTTAGGAAGCTTTGAAAGACACTTGTTAAATATACAAATTATATGAAATTTGTATTGAATCCCTTGAATTAACTGATCTGATCTTTTAAAATTTAGATTTAAAATTAAAATCTTATTATCTCTGTCTTCTCTGAATTGAACACTCTGGAGTGTTGCAATGTGACATATGTTCAGAGGAGATAAACAATGATACCCTACGTCTTTTTTCCATGCTTCTGTTACACGGGCAGAACATAGCATTCTGTGTGTAGGTTTTTTTTTTTCCTTGAGGATCATGAAAATTCATAGACCTGTCAGTTACGGATTTTAAGGAGAGTAACCTTTTATTTAACTGATTTAGACAGCTTGCCATCTTTTGCCAGCTCCTTAGAAAACGTGATTTCAGCCTTCTTGATGTCTTAATCCCTGCTGTTCGCTTCATTCTGCAAATGGAGGTGCATAAGGGCCGTTCTGTGGTGGTTCCACTCTGAGATAATCCCTGTGCCAAGGTAGTGTTCCTCAGAGCTACCATTTGGTGCACAGACCTTACTGTCTTACATTCCCAATAGTCTCATCTGATACAACAATACAGGACAAGATCCTTATACCATAAGAAGTAATTCTACTTCAGTGGGCTCTGGCAATATAATGTTCATTTTTTATAATTTCACACAAGTCTCTGAATTTCAGTTAATTTTGTTTATTACTGGCTAATATAATACAAAATCAGCAAGGGCAACAGTCTGTTGCTTCTTCAAAGCCTGTTCTCTTGGAATCAGGAATAGACTCAGACTTAGCGTGGGTCTTTCTGGAAGTACAGTTAACTGGATGACACTTGGACGCAAGTGGCTTCTGTATGAAATTATACTAAACAATACAGTGAAGTGAATGAGGGTGAAATAATCTGGTAGTGTTTTATTGACTTACTGACATCCTGAACTATGTATTTTTTCCGAAGCAGTTGAGTTTCTTTCAGTTAGACTGCATATACTGGCCACTTTGGAAAATTCCTGAAGGTTGTAATTATTTCTTTTGATATAACATTAATTTTTTTCTGCTCTTTTACGCTGCCTTCTTAACAGTATCCTTTTTTGGCATCCCAGACTGATTTTTAATTACTTGACCTATTCTTTGAAGTCATGAAAAAATGCTTCATCTCATCTGAGTGGAATCCTTAGGAGATCTGTCAGCAAGGAGAGGTTTAAGTCAGATTCCTCAATTCAAGTTTCAAAGGACTTGAGAGACATTTATAAATCTGTAAAAAAGTTACTCTCTGGAATGCAATTCATATTATACAGAATTCATCATTAGTATATAATGCAAGACATACTCTTCTTACATTGAAGACACAATATTTTTTTCTTCATTTTTGTAGGTCTCCTGGTATTTTTATGGTACGCAGTACTTAATTTTTTATCCGATGGCATGGCAGAAATTTTAAGCGTGTATCACTGTCGCTTTAGTCTGCATGCCTTTTCTGCTTTGACTTGTTGATATACCTTTAAAATAGAAAATGAAAATGTATTCTGGGTTCAGTAACAATGTTGGGATGACAGTTTTCTTGAGTTTTCCTAGAGGAAGGGTCATAAATGTGTCCAAACAGATTTGTCTTCGCAATTCTGTGTTACATATGTGGGAAAAAAACGACCCAACAGAGTTATAGATGAAAATAAGACTGTTGTATCGAGGTTTTTTGTGAAAAACAGGAACATTTACTTCAGATAAATAATTTCTTTGTGTTTGGTGTGCACTTTGCTTACTGCAAGGTTTTCATTAGCTTATAAATTTACTGTGAAAGAATGCTGCTATTGCTTTTCTACCTTTTAAGTGTCACATTAGAAGAAACCAAGCGTTAATTAGTTTAGGTAAATATAATCTAAACAGTATTTGTAAGTTTACATTGCCTTTTGCATCAAGCTGAGAAAGTGAAAGCTATCCTGTCTAGTTCCCATTGCTATTCTGTAATGCCTTGTTTAGAGAAAGAAGTTTATCTGGAATGTCGAGAAGAAAATAGTCTGATTAACAGTTAGACTCAGGACTTAGGTTTTATGCTCAGCTTTCTTGACATTTTGTTTTTTCTCTTTTCTGAATGAAATCCTGGCACCATTGAAAATCAATGTGAGTTACTGCTCACTGCAAGAAAGCAAAGGTATTACTCCTTTGCATTAGTTTCTCAAATCTATCAATATATTTGGACACCCCATACCAGATAATCTTCTGCTACAAAACAGGGTTTTTTTTGTTTGGTTTTTTTTTTTGTTTTTTTGTTTGTTTGTTTGTTTTGTTTGTTGGTTTCTTTTGGGATTGTGTTTTGGTTTTGGATTTTGTTTTGGGTGGGTTTTTTTGTTATTTTTGTTTGGTTTGAAGTTCCTGTTCATGTTCATGTTGGTCTCTTTAAAATGCAAATCAGTGCAAGTAAAGATTTACTTACAGTTATCTATGATTCTGTGATCCACCTTCTGCTGTTCTCTGGAGCACAGTTTGGTGGTGAAGCAGTATTTTTAATGGGGCTGCAGCTTTAAATAAAAAGAGTAAGGTAATTCCTTTGTTTTGAGCTCCATCTGTTCTCTGCACTAACAACATCATGTTAGCGTAACAGTTCCTCAGAACTGTTACCAAATTCTAATTTAATTTTACAGCGACAGAAAAATGTTGCAAATAGAACTGTAGCTTCACTTAACATTTCAGCTATAATGCAAAGTATTTTCAGGAGCAGTTAAGTAATTAAAGGCTAACCCAATGATAGAAAAAAAATAGCAATTCACAGATTAAGATTTTGCTGTTGACAAACAGTTCTCAGGTTCCAAATTTACTTGCAGCTATTTTAAAGCTGATCTGATCATAGCTGTGCATACTGAGACTTTACAAATACACCTGTTATAGCTTTCATGTACATAGCCTGTGTTTTAAAGAACACTTATACTTGAGCAGTTGAATTTGCAAAAACATGCCTGCATATTTAATTAACTTCTTGCCTTTTAATTGTAATTTAATTATGTGAACCTTACATACTGGTAGGAAGATGCAAAACATGAAATGGATAAATTTACCAAATAAAGTGAAATTGCATTAATTTATTTTTTAAAAAAGTATTTTCATGTCCACCAAAATTTCACTCTCTTTTCTATTCCAGAATCGAATGGAAGAAAGCAAAGCACTCTTTAGGACAATTATCACATATCCATGGTTCCAGAACTCTTCAGTCATTCTGTTCTTAAATAAAAAAGATCTCTTAGAGGAGAAAATTATGTATTCCCACCTAGTTGATTATTTTCCAGAGTATGATGGTAAGTATAAAGACATCAGAGCTCATGTTCTATTTGCACTGCAGTAATGAGAATCGTAATAGCCTTGTCCAAATGCTAGACACATAGATAATTTAATATATTTTACACCTAAAAAAAAAAAGCTGCTTTGCAATTTTTAATAATCTACATTTTAAAAATGTGATTGAACTTCTGTGGGATTTTATAGATTATTTTATAGATTGCTAAGATTTCATTTTAAAAATTGGGGTGAAGGTTTAGACTGAAGTATAAAAGAAAAAAAAAAAATTCCGTGTGCCACTCAGAAAAACCAGTACCACTCCTTCCACCCTTTTATTGTACCTCTTTGTTTCCTGTATTTCAGTTTTACATTATTTATGTGAAGCTTAATATGCTTGTCTATAAAAAGTTGTGTGGATTGTACAGCAGTTTCTACTAAACCTGTACTTCAAGAAAGTTTTCCTGAGGTAAAAACCTAACTATTGTGAGGTAACTGAGTGGTAGCCTTGGTGACAGAGAAAAATCAAACTGATATAATTAAGGGTCTAAAGAACTAAATTCTCCTATTTAAAAAAGAAATAAATGAATGTCTTCTGTCCCACCAAAGAGTGAATAGCATATTTCAAAGCTGAATAAAAGAGTAAATCTCTTACGTTCAAATATGGAAAGTATTCCTGTTAAGGGGAAGTGAGGGTGAACAGTCTGCAGATCACAACCACTCTGCAGTCTAAATTCAACATTGACTCATTCAATTTTTTTCTGAATTCCTGAGGTATTAAATGTACTTTCAAACCTGACTTTTCCATTCTTGAACTTCAGACAAACACAAATTTAAATTACATGATAGTCAGCAGAGATCTGTTTAGATAAGTAAGTTTGGATATAGTCTTTGAGAGAGGGCTGAGTCTAGCTACTGTGAAGCTGAAAATTCTAGGAGGTTGTTTAAAATAGTAAGTGTTTTACTTTGAAGAAATCAGTATCTTTGAAAGTCTTAAGAGTTTCCTTCACAAATATTGCAAATTTAGTCATGGTAGTGTGAGACTTACCATTGCTGCTCTTTCTATAGAGCTGGGTGACCAAGCCAAAGGCTAGAGTCTGTTGTGTGTTAGAAGCTGTAGAAGCATTGAACAGTCTGCTGGAGAGCTTATGATCTGTTTACATCCCCAAATCTCAGGAAATATGTTATCTGTGTATGTGTATGTATGTTCATATATGTGTATATGTGTCCATGTGCATACCTCTACATGCATTTGCAGCACACCAGAAAGTACATGATTTCTCTTCTGTGCATTCCCTACGTAAATTTTATAGTTACGCAATTTGGAATGTTAGCATTTGTAATCTTGAAATATTAGAGATAGGTTATCATGCAGTTGAAAATTATGTGGGCATGTGCTAACCCTCAAAGTACAGATTCCATAAGCACTGAAGGACAGAGCTACCTACAAAGGTTGAGTGCGGGTATATTACCAGGACTAAGGAAGAGAATAGGAGGAAGCAGCACAGAAAACATGCATGTTCTGTAGAAACACAACTTCCAGAAATAGGAGAGCAAGGGAATTAATGGCCTTTGGAAGTAGTTTGGAATAACAGAACAGAATTCAACAGCTTGTGTCTTATGTTCTTGCTTTTGCACTGCTCTTTTGGCTGTGAATGTAAATGAATCCTGACTGTTCCAGGCTGGAAGTCATTACTTTACCTCCTCTCTTCTGTAAAGCTGAACATGTGGTTTAGCCTCTGTCCTTCTGAGAATTACAACCTTAATTTAGATCTGATAGGATTATTATCATACATAATTTAGATAACAAGTGATTTGTTAGAACATGAGCCTTTTGCAATCAAACAGCTTCAGCTGGAGAGCATGTGTATTTTGTTATCACTAAAATAAATTCTGATGGTAACAGCGTCAGAACAGTTCAGGATCTAACTTCATTACACTACCTATTAAAATATTAATACCTATTAAAATACTTATAAAACTAGTAAGTGTTACCATGCTAAAATAACTGAATTATAATTTAAATATAGTTCATGTAGACTGAACATTTACCAATTCTGTTAACATTTTTTAAAAGATTTACTAGTGTAGCTAATTTCTCTGTTTTCATTCTGTGCAGTTTTAAGTTGCCTAAGTGTTATCAAAGAAAGAGGATAGTCATCAGCAAAAGAGCACCTTTGACATGATAACTCTAACTTGATAGAATTTATGAAATTTCCTTCCATCTTTATTTTCCATAGTTCCTACCAGGAAGAAAGCAGCTAGTGTATGATGATTAGCCCTCTTACATGAGGACTACAGACTGAGTCTTCCTTGTTTTGTGTTAAAAGAGGTTCAAGTACTGAACTGTCTTTAAGAAAAGTGACTTTCTCTTCCTAATTATCAGGACCACAGCGGGATGCACAAGCGGCACGAGAGTTCATCCTGAAGATGTTTGTAGACCTGAACCCAGACAGTGACAAAATTATATACTCCCACTTCACATGTGCTACAGACACAGAGAATATCCGCTTTGTCTTTGCTGCTGTCAAGGACACAATCCTACAGTTAAACCTGAAGGAGTACAACCTGGTCTAACTGTGTCTAGGAGGCCCTCAGAAACTACGTTTGTGTGATTGAAGATATACAAGAGGGACTGTATTATCTGTGAAAACAATTTGCATAATACTAATTTATTGCTGGCCTGGACTCTGTGAATGTCCACAGAGTTTGTAGTTAATATTATGATTTTAATTTAAACTATATGGAGGAAAAACAAAAGATGCTGAAGTACATTCATAGCACATTCCTCATTTTTTAGGCAAAACCTTGTGACTCAATGTGTTTTAAATTCTCAGTCATACATTACAAAGAATAGCAGGTTTTGCTAATGAAGCAAAATCAAGCTGGTTTCCTCTTTCCCTGACCCTTTCTCTCTCCCTCTTTCCTCTCCCTCTTATCTTTTACAAGGTACAGTGGCCTTTTTTTTCCCCTGCATTCCTGGGTGGAATGTTTTCTGTTGAATTATTTGGTCAGGAAAATACTATCATATGAATTGAAATCATCAGTCATTCTAATTTTATAGTATGTACTTATCTGAAGGATCAAAAGTATTGATACTGTGATTTTTAAATTCTTGACAGGGGTGTCTTAATTCTGTCTTCAGTTTTGGGACTAGAATATTTGAATTGCAAAATAGAATTACAGTTATATAAGATACTAAATTTAACCATATTTTCACAGTTCAGAAAGATGCATAGAAGACAGTCATGACGTAATTAAGACACACCTGGGATGTATATGTGTAGTGTGTTAGAATCCTTTTGTTTGCCATGTGCCATTTCTTTTTCTTCTTTGATTCATAAATGCCAAATAGAAATGTCATAGACACTACATCTTCCCCAGTGGCTACAGCCTGAAACAGTGGGGTGGTTTGGTTTTTTTTTTCAGTTGTGCAGGGTTTTTTCTTAAGTTAGAGCTTTTTTAAGTGTTCTTTTTCCACAATAGAAAAATTATTTTTATTGTATAATATTAATGTTGCCAAATCTGGCTTTTTATAAAAACAATACGCCAAACTGATGGGTTGGGAACTGACCTGATTGAGTCAACTGCCGAATGATAAACAAACATAGTTTCAGCTCTCATGTTCCCTTTTTTAGAAATTGTTCTATTTTCTAATGCCAAAACCAACAGTGTGAGTGAATATGCTACAAGGTGCACCATGCACATGCGTGTGGTCTACTAATTTAAAGACAGTTTAAATCCTTATGCCAGGTATGGCATGAGATTGTTTTATTTAATAATATCAAGGCACCTTTAGCTGTATAACAAGAAATCACTGATGAGAAATCACATTCAGGAACCTTTCTCGATAAGGTTGCGTGTTCACTAACTGATTTACAGACATTTAATAGGCTTTCATGCAAAATAGCCTCTCTCAACATTCTTTAGAAAAGATTTATTAATGTAAATGAAACAAAATCATTCTTGAAATTTAAATGTGCAGTTTTCTTAACAACAAAAAATGCAGCACACAGTGATGATCCTTTATTCTGCAGCTTAAATTGAAAGGTGTTTTTTGACCAGGTGCACGATTCCTAGCAAGCAATAGAAAACTTGCTCAGACATATAATTGGGTTGATTATCTGAAATGACAAGTAGCACTAGAGTGCACTTGACACAGAAGTTGCTGCCTCATAGCAGCAGATGGGAGGTGGAAAAAAGAATAGCTTATTAATCAATCACTGAAGTTGAACAATAAATACTAATAAGACCTTTTTTAATCCTTAATCCTCCCAAATCTAAACCAACAATAATAAGAACAGTTGTTATTTTTTGCTCCCTCTTAAAACACCTTGTAATTTAAAACTGGTTGTAGGTATAGTGCAATTATGAATGTTATAATCATTGTACATACATCTATATATATATATGGTGGCATCCATATTGGCTTTGTAATCATTAATTTTTGGCAAATTGAATGTGCTGTATTGATATGTATCTATGTAATTGTATTGTATGTCTTATAGCTAATTCACATTTTAAATAATGTTATTTTATTTACTTTTTTAAGAGAGAAGAATGTAAATTTTGTCAGTTTATTTCTGACTAGGGATTTGTTGTTGTTTTTTATTTACAAAAAAAAAGAAATTACTATAGTAGAGAGCGGTACTAGCATCGTGCTGTATAAAATCATTTGCACATTCCTGAGTAGAACTAAATTGGAGACACCAAGTCAGAGGCCAATTGCATTCAGAATAATGCTTAAATCTTGTCAGGGCTTTATATAGATGTAGAAACCAGTCTTACTAGAACTCATGTTGTTATGTCTAGGATTGGAGCATAAGCTTTTTTAGATATAAATTTAATTTATATTTGTCAGATTCACATTAGGTTACTTTTACTTTTCTAATCAGCTTTATTAGAAAAGTAAATGTAGAGATACTTCAAAATCATTGTACAGCAGTACTAATGAGTGTATGCTGTTACCCTAAAAAAATCATGAAAAAATACAAAACATCAACAATCAGTCTTCTCAGAAACTGCAGAAAACTTAAATACAACAACAACATCCAGAAAGTCACTATTTTTAATGATTTTAATGAGTTAAAGCATTTTACTTAATAAAGCTAAAGCAGGTATATCTAGGTTATAAAAAATGACACTGACATTCTGAATAGGGGATCAAAGCAGTGACTCTACATATACAGCATAACAAAATTGGTCCTGATCTTACTATAAATGCAGCAGAGTTTCTGTTTGCACAGTTCCACTGTTGATAGTACCCCTTCTTTTAATTCAGGAATACATTGTCCATACTGGGATTAGTGCTATAAATGGAACTGTAGCCAAAAAAGGAAAAAACAAACAAAAAAAAACACACACCCCCCCCCCCCCCACACACACACACAGAACACCCAACCCAGACAAACAAAAAAAACCCAAACGGTGGTGTCTTACTAAGGTTTGGGTTTGTTCGGGGATTTTTAGTTTGGTTTGTTTTGTTATGGGATATTGGGTGAGGGAGAAGGAAATGTGGTTCTATGTTTTGTATAAAAACAAAACAGAGGTTTACTCATGCTTTATAGTTACATTATGATTGCAAAAGTTTTTAAGAGTGTGTGCCACTGGGCTACTTATGGTATGGTTTAGATAAGTCAAATTTGTAGCAATGTTTAGATCATTTGAGCATGTTCTGGAAGAAAAAAAAAAAAAAACAAAAAAAAATAGGCAAGCTTTACATAAATCACCTAACACAGCATTGCAGTGTGACAGTTTACAAAAACATTTCCTTTTTAAATGATGCAGCTGTTCCCACCTGCAGTGTATTCAGTTGTGGTAGTGGTGCTGTTGTTTTAATCGGTGGTTTCTACTATGCCTTACAGTGCTTGAGTCCAGAAGTTTGTGCCTCTAATATGAAGCTAAGGCAGAAATACCGAGACAGAAACCCTTTTAACTTTGCCAAAATTAAGTGATTTCTTTGAATGTCATATATGGGGGAGAAGGAAAACGTCTTGGGAACCTGTGTATTCTAGATGTTCACTAGCACAAGAAAGCTGTAATACGTGTTTTACAGAAACTTTAAACTTGCCTTTTTCACAAATTAACTGGCACTGTCCTTGCATATATAGGATGATGCAGCTATAAGGGCAGTTTGCTTTTTATAATTCAGACTCTTTTGATTGTCAAGGTGTATGGACTGTAGTTTTTAATCATACTGCCACATGATTATGAGTCACTTTTTAAAGTTTGAAAGTGGAGAAGAGACTCTTTATGCTGGATATCAGTCAGAACTGACTGCATGATTTGCTAAAACTCTAAATGGGGAGAAAGGGCTGCATATGAAGACATTGCTGGACTCCCAGCATTTGTTTGAAAGGTTCAGGAGACTTTCAGATTATTCAGCCTCATGACCCTTTCCTTGTTAACACATCCTTCCCAAAAGAATGAAATACCAGGAGAAAATAAAGACATGTTAACCCACGTGAAAAAATAAAATTTAGGCAATTAATTTATTATATGTGCTGCTGTTCTTGGAGCTCTGTGCATGGTAGTCCTGCAGACTAATATATTAGTGAACTAATGAAGTGTGCACAGCATATTAACAAGGCCTAAAAATGACCTACCTCTAGCTAAGAGACCAGTAGAGTAAATGTTTTAGGGAGGCTGTCATAAGTTAGGAAGTTAAAATGTCGTGGTGTAGGTAATTAACTATGGTTTTTAGAAATTCACACTTTTGTAAATAGTCCCTCTTCTGACATAAACCATAAATTCTAAAATGCATTAAACATGTAAAGCCATCTGTCCCTGTCCAGTTTGTGAGTTTAGTGGGGATCTTGCAAAACCATATGTTTAGTTTTAAGAGGAGCTACTGATAATTTCCTCTTTCTTGGCTCTTGGTTAGCCATAACATTTTGAGTTTCATCAGTCAAACCAGAAACATTTCTGTAAACAATGCATTGAGGGTCACTCTTTAGCTAGGTAAAGGGATTTTACTGTAAGTTTCCCTTAAGCTTTTTGACAGTAGCCATGCTGCACAGAAGAATGGAGTAGAGGGAGATTTTGAGTACAGTGTGAAAAATGGAAAGTCAGCCAGGTCAATCTTACTGTAAATCTGTTAGGTTTGAGTTTTTTCTCTCAAAATAGTCTAAGATGAAGTCTGTTGCTGAATTCCTCATTTACTGTGCTACAGGAAATCCTTATTTGACCAATTTTTTTTTTCTTCAGGGTGGGGTGTCAGATATGTTTTTAAACAGTATTTAAAAATAAAGATCATATTTGCTGTTCTTAAAGTGTCATTTAAATGCATGTATTGTGTGTTGTTTGAGGGACAGAAATAGGGTTTTTGAAAACTAATACTGTACTGTTACTGCCCCTCAAAAATATTGCTGTTTAAAAATACAGTATTTTTGGCCATAACTTCGTACTATAGTATCGTAATTCCTTGAAATTTAGCTTTTCTGAAACATTGTTTGGGCTTATTGTTCTCCCATAATGCTTATTATGATAGATGTTGGATGGATGTATTATTCCATTATTACTTTTTAATTACACATGCCCTGTCATCATCGTCTAAATATTAAATTTTCCAGAAGATTACAGTCAGAACGTTCAAAACATGTAAGATTTGTTACAGTGGAGACGGCATTAGTAGAAGGGGGGTTTTGATTTGTTTACAGTGGAAACTTGGAAGCATGAGGGGAAAGAAATAATAACCTGTATCTCACTAATAGAAAACTTTCAGAATTTGTAGGTGGCGAGGTGAATTTCTGAAGCATTTTGCCTGTTCGCAGTAGTACTGCACAAACAGACTTTGATTTTTATGTTCACCTATGTCATGATAGGAATCACGGAAAGATGCCTGCATGTTGCTTTTCATGTCTTGTATCTGATCAGCAGTCAGTGGATCTCAAATCTTCATTATTGAAGAAACAGAATTTCAGGTCAGTTGCAAAAATTTGTTCTTCGTTATGTGATTGCAACAGTCTTAAGTAAGATTGCTGAAGTCCAAAGAGTTTGCTTAAGCAAGGACTTGAGTTAATGGTTCCTGATTTTATTTTGCTGTTGCAGAGGGTAAAGGGGAGGGATCAGTGAGGAAGGACTTAATTCATGTCTCAGTGAAGATAATATCAACAAAAATACAGTGTAAGTGGTGATCTTTAGGTACATGAAATAGATGTAGAAACTGTATCTGTGTGATACATTGTGTGTAGTTGTGATAAAACCTTACATCACATACTATGATTTCATCACCTGATTGCCAACCGCTTTGTAGGATACTGTCCCAAAACCCTGTGAGTTCCAGAGTACTTTTAGGCTGCCATAAATTACACAGCTGCCAGCTCCTCAGGAACGCATCTGTTGTCAGTACCTGGTATCAAGGCAAGTAATCTCTTCTTCTGTCTCATTACTACAGAAGGAATTAGCCTCAAAGACCTTCTCAGTTCCCAGTTCTCAGATGCCGTGGGTTTTCCCTCTGATTTATGTCAGTCTTGCCATTTGTCCAGCCAATAAACTGAGTGAAAAACCCCACTAATTTTTGCTATTGCTTGGCTCATTTGGTCT